GGGCCTTTCGGGGAACCGGCAATGTTTTACAGCGTGGCGACGGCTACACGAGAGTGCACACTTGTCAAACCTCAAATTGTGGAATTAACATTGGTGCACTTTATTTTATGTGAATCATACTGCAATAAAGCTGATTTAAAATATGTTCAGAATTTTTTAAAAGGGGGCTAAAGGAAGACAGCAATGACCAAGAACGGCAGCAGCAGGAGAGACTGTGAGTTCTCTCCCTGCTCCGTCAGCAGCCGAGACCAGGAAAGACCAGCACCCTGCCCAGTGGCTCCGTTGCCGGCGGGCCACGCCTTGCACTGAACAGAGGCAGCGTCGATCCCCATCAGGGCGCATGCGGGAAGCAACCAATGGATGTTTCCTTCTCACATCAATGTCTCTCTCTCTCCACTTCCCTTTCTCTCTAAAAACCAATCAACATATCCTCAGGTGAAGATTTTAAAAAAGAAAGGGAAAAAAGCAAGATCTATGAATTCTAATTCAACTTTTAAACATTCACCCTATAATACTGGAAACACACAAAAGAATATAACGTTCTATAAGTCATGAAGCACAGTAACAAAATCAGCCATCCTAGACCCATCTGTTTTTCCAGGCAAAACTCCCCAAACACCGCCACGGCTAGCCTCACCAACCAGCTCTCAGGAGCCCGAGCGGACGGGTTTCCAGGCAGCCTTCAATCCTGAAGCACTTTCCCGCCGCCATTTATCCATTCAACAAGCAGCTCTAGAACACCTGCTGAGACAGAGCCTTGGTCAGACTAAAAAAAGAAAAAAGCCTCTGAGCTCAAGGAACTCCCAGTTTATTTCATGGGGAAGCTGGGGACTAAACACTGGAGAGTCCCGTGGTGAGTGTGGGGGCTGACCGAGCCACAGGGGATGGACGTCCAGCCTGCCCGACGGAGGCCTCTGAGAGACCCCCTGCGTGAGCTGCAGCTGCCCCTCCTGGGCACAGCCTGGAGCTGGGCAGGCGGAGCGTCTGGACCAGCCCATCGACACACTCCCAGGATGTCTTCCCTACTCCCCTGCAGCATGTGCTCCGATGGTACAAATAATTTTACTGTTGGCCTAAGAACAGATAATACTGCTCAAAAATAGTCAGATGATGCATCTCAAAGGAAAAAATATGCTTCAGGCTGCAGCAGGGGGATGACCTGGCCGCGCCCTCCCCCTCGGGTTGTCTCTGACACCCCCGCCCTGTGCCCTCGCTGCCCTGACCATCGCCTGGGGCTCCCTGACCGTCCGCATGCCTTTGCCTGGGGCCTTGCCCACCCTGTCTGGTCACTGAACCAATCTTCCCCCAGGTCCAGTGAACACCTCCTGCTGCCCTTCACCTCACCTGTGCCCGTTCTCACCTGGGCCGAGTTCACCTCACCTGCTGCGTCTGCTTAACTGCCTTCCCTGACAGACAGGAGCAGCCGGAGAGCGACCAGCCAGGTCTTACTAACCCTTCCACCCCAGGGGTCTGGCACAGTGCCGGGCACCCAGCAGGCCTTCAACCACACACGCCTGCTCAGTGAATCACGAGAACCACGGGTAAGTGTGTGCCATAAGGCTACATGGGCTACACGAGAAACACAATGAGCAAGAACACGCTTTCTCACTCACGATTTCTTATGGCAGGTCAAAACCTTTTCCCAACCTCGGACATTTATGTCCTATTTTAAGAGGCAACTGAAGCTGCAGGTCAGTCTTTTGAAAGCCTAAGAAAGAACTATCACCCTACAAAATTCACCCTGGCCCGGCCTGCATCTCAAAACTGCTTTGCTTCTTGTCTCTCTGGGAGGGAAGAAGAAGCCACTTGTGCTGAATCAATCAAAAGCCTTTGCCAGGGCTCTCTGTTCAGGGCTGTGCTGGGCGCCACGCACACACGAGGGCGTGGGTTCCCGCTTCAAAGTCGAGCAAGAAGAAACCAGGACGGGAAACACAGAACGTCAGCCTTCCTCTGGACCCCGGCCGGGCCTCTCCCGAGCGCGGCGGGACTTTCCTCTGAGCCCCCATCACGGTGGTTTATCCTCTCTCCAGGGGACGACACACTCCCCCCACGCAACCCCCTGCCGCCTGCACGAAGCCTGCTCCGACTTCTCTCGCCCACATTAATTTTCCCTTTTTCTGTATTCTTGTGGAATTTTCTTGTCTATATAATTAATTTTGGCATTAAGTCACAGTGTCTTGTATTATTATCCTTTTCTTAAGAGTTTATCTTCTCTCTCCCCAAGGACCTGTTAAGATTCTTAAAGACCACATTTCGAATCCTACCACACTGTCCTGAGCATACAGTCGGTGCTTAACACGGATGGGCTGAACATCCCTGTGGGTGTCTGTGCCATCTCTGCCGACATTGGCATTTACTAACATCTCAAGTCCAACCTCATTCACCAAACAGCAGAGATATCAAAAGAGGCACCGAGTGGGACATCTATCACCAGGCAGGGTCCAGAGGTGACAATCCAGGAGCACTGGACTCCCTGCAGCGGTCCCGGAAAAGTGACCCTTCCCCAAAACAGGAGCATTGGCGGGGGGGGGGGGGGGGGAGCCCCAGAGAAGCTCGTTTTCTGGACTTGGGCTCTGAGAGAGGATGTCCTTAAAAAGTCAAGAACCGCACAGGGATGGGCTGCCTGGGCTCCAGATGTGAGCCGGCAGGAACACCCGCGTGCGGAGGCCGTAAATCCGCCCGGGACGCGGGCAATGCCTCTGCGATAAGCATGCAGACTGCACACCTAGTTCAGAAACTCCCCTGAGTTTGCTTGTAATTAAGGGGGTTAGAAAGGTAAAAAAATATATAAACCCAATTAATCATTTAAATATTTAGAGTCAGACTTCCCCTCACCCCAGGATTAGTGTGTTTCAGAACGCCGGCGCCGACAGCCCTGGTTTTACTGGGGTTCGTTGCGGAGCGTGTTTAAACTCGTCAGGTTGAGTGATGCTTCCAGCAACTAATCGCATGTCAAATAAAAGATATTTTATGTAATAAATTACTGCTACAAGTAATTCAAATGTCATTTATCAGTTTTATTATCAGTCAGGCAAAGTCTTCTTTCTCTGTATTAATCAAAATCAAGCCTTTTTTTTTTGGAGCAGTTTTGACACCTCTTGGCAAAAGCACAGAAGTGAAGAGGTGCAGCCGGCCGGGAGCGGCAGGGCGCAGGCAGCCACACAAGGGGAACGGCACTCCCTGGCGACAACCACAAACGGCAGGTGTTCAGAACTGCCATCGCCACTGTCTGCACACCAGCGTCAGAGCCGGGAGGAGTCTGTCTCTCAGAAGATGTATTTTATTTTTAGGGCTGGGAGACTCTTAAAAATACTCCTACCTAAACACCTAAGCGGGCGACGCTTTTTCTCAGGGAGATCTGGACGCAGGATGATTTAAACAACTGGGCAGCCCCTCCCACCACAAGCGCCTGCCTCTTCGGGACAGACCAACAGTCTAACTCTCCACGCCTGCTCAGAGGAGGCAAATGCGTGACGTTTCAGGCCAACGCTGGGACCAGCCAGAACACTCTGTTCTGAGCAAGAAGTTTTCAAGTCGCCGAGGGGCCTGTTTGGTACTAAGCCATAGCGGAAACAGCTGGAACAGAACAGATGTGCGTCTTAGAAACTTCTGCACCCCAGCTGCCACTGCCCGTCCTCAACAAATCCCATGCAACGACTGGGCCAGGGACACAACTAAAGAGAAAGTGTGGAGACGTGGCCTTTGGGTCACAGCACGGCTAGTGACCCACAGCAAGCACAATGGAGGGGTGGGAACGCCCGCTGGCCGGGAGGAAAGAGTCCCAGGCTGACAAGTACCTGTGGTTGACCCAGCAGCCTCCACACAGGGGTCACCACGAAGCACCGTTCCTCTGGTCTCAGGGGTCACGCCACGCCAGTGGCTTGTTAGACAAGGGGACCGAGGAGGAGAGCAACAGGAGTGGGTGCGGCTGGGCCTCACCACCCATCCAGCCTTGCCCAGAGAGCACAGGAGAGCAGGCCTCGTCTAAGTGAGACCTGGGCGCACAGGACAGGTCGGAGCCCCGCCCCAGCACCTGCCAGGCACAGCGACATCGCCTCCCGGCTGTGGCTGAGCCAGGGAGGAGGTCGGCACGGGGAGCCGGAGGGAGCTCCAGGCTGCGAGGTGGGGTCAAAACTAGCATGGCATTTTAAACCGCCCCCTTTAAAATCTGGTATCTAACACAGTTTTAAATCATGTTTTGAAAAAATAAAACTGAGACAGACAATTAAAGGAACGGCATTTTGAAAGACAACAGATCCAAGGTTGAGCTACTTTAAAGACACAAAACAGGTCTATTTTCCACTGCTTTGGAGTTCACTGTAACCTTTTTAGATTCTGTAAAAGTGATTTAAAGAAGGGGCTATATTTTGGAGGTGTACATTTATTACTAGTGTGAAGAACCTTGAGGCCTAAAACAGCTTCTGTTAACTTCCTGAGGGCCGTGGTCTCGTGTCGAATCACGAGACCCACTGCACTCAGGCCCTCACAGGTGGTCTGCAATGCCCCTGCAGACCACCCAACTTACATCATACGGTACAGCCAGGGCAGGGAGGGAGGCAGGGGTAGTCTAAATCTCCTGACATTAACTTAAAAAAAATAAAACTAGGAGGTGAGTTATCTCAGCGAGCAGACGAGAGTGCCCCCATGAATCCGAAGTTCATGGTCGTTCCTCGTAGTGAAGCCGCAGTGACATGCAAAAGCACCACTGTGAGAAAGGGAAAGTGGCACCTTCACAGATTCTTCCTCGTAACTACAGTAACTTGACGCAACACATTAGTAAACTCATTTATTCTGGTGCCTCGACTCTTCTAAAACCTTTGTCACACACTTCAAAGTCTGTCTAGCAGAGGATTTGGGTGTGTCACATGTTTCTGGAAAATCCCAGGGCTGCTCCTCCCAGCGCCGCCCTGCTGGCTGAGTCTGGGAGATGGGAAGCCTGCTCCTGGCCACTGTCCCGAATCCTGATGAGGGGAAAGCTGGAGGGGGAGTGGGCGACTTACTGTATGGCTGAGAAGTGAGGTGAGGGGGCTGGACAGGAAGCACCTGTGTGGCCGGGCCCAGGGACGGAGGCTCCTCGGCGGCCGTGCCCGACTGCTGGAAGGCCACATCGATCTCCTCGTCCGTCAGCCCTGGGGGAGGAGAGCACACGAGCGCAGGTGAGTGCCTTCGCCACTGTCCACCAGGCCGCCGCCGTGGAAGCTTCACGGAGGAAAGCCCACAGAGCCACAGAAGGCCTAGCATCCTGGGAAGCCGCCTCCCGATTTCGGATTCTCTGGAACCTCTCTCAGCTGCAATTTAACCTTAAGCGACAGAATATTAGCCTCCACACTGCTTCCAAATGTGGCTCATTCAATTTCCTTAATTTATCCTTGAGTTTATTGCTGCTTTCGAAGTCGCTCCGTACTGCAATTCCCCATTCTTCCCCCGAAAACAGATACCATCAACTGCAAATGTGGCTCATTTTAATCTGTAATGGTGTTAAAAAAAGAGGGGAAAAAACTAACAATAATGCATGAAAACAGACAGGGAAACAAAAAACTAATTATTGGGTGAGACGACTAATTAGTCTAGATCGTTTCCAAAGACGGGAATAATTTGCTTTATTTTATGACAAATGCAGAAATAAAAAGAAAAATCAGGACTGACTGTGATTAGTATGAATGGGATATGGAATGTAAAGAAGAAAATAAAACAAGAAAACAGATCAAAACAAGGCCAGGCCCGAACTTTCAGATGATTATTACTCTAGCCCATCACAGGCTGCCTAAATCGCCTTTGGCTAGTTTTTCTTCTTCTCTCTTTTTCAATCTTCCCGACACTCCGAACCACACTGCACACGGCACATCCTGAAATAGCAGGGCGCCATCTGCAGTGGCTATGACACGTGGAGAGGACTTGCCCACGGAGGAATACGCGGCACGGGAAGGACCCGTGAAGACCCCATCTCCAGTGGGCACACAGCTGGAAGGCTTTCTGAGGCAGCCCAGGGCCGTGGGCTCTGTGGGAAGAGGCCGAGGGCGCCAACGGCACGGCACAGGTGCCAGAAAAACTTCCCCACGGGGCCCACTCGGAAGTAACGGTGTGCACGTAAGCGTGCTCCGGCCCCCGAGAGTGGGAAAGGCAGGTGGGAGGTCACTGCTGGTCTGCGAAAGACCACTCTGGCCAGCCCGTGCTCTTCCGGGAATCCCAATATCCAGTCCAGCCGCAACACAGAGCTTTTAAACTAGAGCCGGGCGCTTCCCCACATCTGGTCGGCAGCTCTCCATTAGAGGCCCACAGCGCGGTGTATCTGCCCCTGGGGGCAGATGAAGTAAGTACCGGAGGTTCTGAGGATCAGCAGCTTCCCCAGCCCGGTGCCGCATGCTCTGCGCCCAGGGGCTACTACGTGGAGCACATTACTACCGTAAAGCACAGCGTGGCCCTGCATCGCACCGGCGTGAGCAGGCTGCAGCTGTCCTGCAAACTGTTCTAGGAAAATGCCTGGACTGTTCTAAATGGCCCTGGGCCCTGGCCAGCTAGCTCGGTTGGTTAGAGCGTGGTCCTGATATACCAGGGTTGTGGGTTTGATCCCCAGTCAGGGCACAAACAGGAATCAGGCAATGAACGCGTGAATGAGTGGAACAACAAACTGATGTCTATCTCTCTCATTTCCTCTCTCTCTCTCAAATCAATTTAAACAAACAAACAAACAAACAAACAGTGTCCTGAACCCCTTCTCCTCTGTGCCAGGCAGCTGAGATCTGGCCCTGTCTCTGCATACAGAGGAGCTGGCCAGGGGCAGGCCAGGCCACACCTCTGTGAGGTCTGAGTGCTGCAGGGTCAGCTCTGGGTGCACGGGTCCCTCTGCCAACTGATGGGCAGGTGGAAAGGCTGCCAGGCTGCAAAGAGGGTTGTGTGCTGGCACTTAGCCCCTTCAAAGTACAAAGGGTAAATCTGAGTATACGGGACGAGATGGGGAACATCTCTGCTCCAAAGTCGCCCAGTTCACTGCAAAGAGGGTTGCTTTGTCATCTCGCCTCCCAAGAACAGGGGCAGAACAGCCAGGGGAGCCACGGAAAGGGAGGAAACAGGCCTCCCCCTACAGGCAGGGGAACCCCTTTCAGGGTCCAGTAGAAAAACACTGCTTTCCCGGGCCTCGGCCGGCCACCAGAGAAGAAGGCAGCACGTGCGACGTCAGCACAACGGATGGTCACCAGTGCAGTGCGGAATTTTATAAACCCAGCGGTTCGTGTGCCTTGTCAGCCGCTGGCTGCAAATGAGGATAATTTTCCCAAAAGGAGCATTCAGTTGCATTCTCATTTTCCCTTTTGGCTCTTTCAAATATAAACAAGTACGATAATGTTTAACGCTGGGGAAATATGCAGTAAGTTACCGGCTGGGCTGCAGCCCTGAGAGCGGGAGCTGGTTAAAGGGACAGGACTCCCTGCCCACTGCTCTGCCCTCTGGCCCTGAGCTTCACCGAAGCCTATTTTCCTAATAAAACATGCTCCTTGCATTATTGCAGCTGGGCCCACGAGCAAGTCCGCGGTGTAAAGGGCATCAGCACATCCTTCCAGGCTCGTGTTTCTCAGAGACCTTATCACTCGATGCTCTGAATTCACATTGGCTGGAATTCTGATGTCCCTAGTCCTCCGGAGACTCAGGATTTTGATTTAGTTACATGAAGTGAATCATTTTTCTTCTTTTAAAAAAATAAACCCTTTAATGATCTCACTGAATAATATAATTTCAGAGCTGGCCCATTATCCCAGTCATTGCCTTCATTTAACAGACTAAAAAAACTGAGGCCCAAGGAGGGTGGAAAATACCCTCAAGAGCACACTAGTTCAGGGCACGACCCTGGCGAAGACAACCCGAGGCCCTCCGTCTCCAGCCTGCTGACCTCCCTCCACCGCACGGTCGCAAAACATCAGAGGGCGGGTCGCAAAACCAAGCCTTGTATCTTCAACCTTATGGTGGAGGCTTAGAAAAACACTAAACCGCTTTCCCCCATGCCCACGTGGGCACCCCAACCGCAGGTAAGAGCCCGCGGATGCTGTTTTGGGGCCATATCTAAACAGTACAGGAGCTTGACACCTGGCTCCCAACTGCAAATGACTCCTGGACAACTTTTTGAACACCACCAAAGTGACAAGGATAGAGTGACCAGATCTCACGCTAAGATCCTACACCCCCCCCCCCCAATCCAAAGGCCTCTCGCAGACTGTGTCCACAGGGCTTCACTCTGGCCTGTCCCCAGCTTGGGAAGAACCTGAACCTGTCCTGGCTGGGTTTAGGACTCTACAGGTGAGTCTCTCAGCTGGGACTTTTGGAGACCGAGGGGGGTGGGCGGGTCCTCTCTCTCAGAACACAGCCGTCACCTACGCAGTCCTAGGCTCCTGGTGCCAAAATGTCCTGACCTTTGGGGATGAGGTCCTGCCACAGAACCACACATGGCAGGTCCCACCCCGCCCGGCTGAGAGAAACTCTGGAGAGCTCAGACCGAGACCTTGCAGAATCCAAAAGGTTAAAAGGAATAATACAGGCAACTGCCAATTGGAAGTGAATTATATTTGGCTCTGAAAGCTGAGGCACAGGCTATATTATAAAAGGCATCTCTGCACGTTGTTTACCATCACCCTGACTAATGCAGACCTTTTTTTTTTTGTTTTAAATAATCTCATGCAAATTAGACACACACACTTCCTTCCAGTTGATTGCTATCTGCGAGGAATCATCTAACCGCCCAGGGACTGAGCAAGGGCTGAGCCTGGCGGAGACAGGAGCAGAGGGTGTTGCAGTCTGGCAGACAGAACTCCTCCCCCACCGGCCTCAAGTCTTCCTTCAGCTGCTGCCTTTGCGAGAATTAGCCGATTTTAATAAAACCAAAAATGTTTTCAGTTGGGGCGCCACTGCAGTATCTGGTGTCACTAGCACTGGGCATCCAGGGTCTTGTTCAGTAACCTCCCTGCTGCTGCCTGACAATTCCAAGAGCCACCATCCTCCGTCAGTGACACTGACAACTCAAATATGTGACTGAGACGGAACACAGCTGAGGAGGTCCTGCCCAGCCATTCCCTCCACTCTGAGAGGCAGAATCATTTTGCATCTAAGGCCACAGCTACCCGATCTGCAGAGCTGAGAGCTCTCAACTGCAGCTCTCTCCAGACCCCGCTGCAAATGCAGTCCCAGCCCCGACTGGCGCGGACCTCTGACCTCTCCGTTCTCTGGAATTCGCTTCCAACACCAGCTCCCTTTACCGGGAGCCTTCCACTGCCCCTGTGCAGAAGCCAACAGACTTCTTTTCCTACACTTTCTCCGGGGTGAGGTCCTTTCAAAAGGGCAGACAAGTGAGCTACTCGTACTGACCCCTGGAGTGAACGGCCTCACGGCTGCCACACCTGCTTATTTTTATCCATTAGAAGACAAATAAACTTGCCTTCGTTTTCTCAAGGTTTTGTTGAAATGCAAACAAACCCAGCCGGTGACCTGGTGAGCTGCAGCGCTGCAGGGCCCTCTCCCCGGACTGACTCAGACCGCAGGAGGTACTACTGGAGAGGGCAGGCTCTCTTCTGTGGGGCTGGCCTGGGAGGGCTTCCGAGAATAAGCAACCTCCACACTGTTCCCAGTGACCGCACCGCACTGCCACAGGGCCCGGCCCCGTGCAGGTGAAACAGAAAGGCAGATAACAGCGGACAGCAATGTTCTGCGCATCTTTCAGGTCACACAACAACCAGGACAGCAGGGTCAGAGATGGCTGGGAAATAAGATAATGAACCCCTGGCCCAGCCTGAGGTTTATTAGAGAACAAGGCCAGAGGGCCAGCAGCAAAGGGCAGCAGCCCCGGGCTGGCCCTGCGGGGCCCCCTCCCCATCACAGTCCCTCTGCTCACAGGACTCAGGCGATTCATCCAGGACCACAGAGATGGAGCGGGGTCACCTCTCCGGGAACGACGAGTTATCTCCCCATGCACACGTGGAAGGAGATGAGGCAGAGACGACAGCTGGCTAAAAAGATTCCCCAAATTAAAAGAAAAATCAACTCTCCCAGAAAAGGTTAGGGGAGGGGAAAGGGAAAAAGTATTTTTATTTTATTTTATTAACATTTTGTCGGAACAGTGGAGTACAATGAGGACTCTCAGAGCCTCTAA